TGTACCTAAGTAGTAATAAATTTTCTTAGTTCTTTGTTTGTTATATTTGAATCTAGATAAATGTGATTATTTTATATATTTATAATTGTTTTGTTATGTGAATCGAAAAACGCTATAATTAAAATGAAAGCTAAACACCGAAAATTAAGAATAATTTCAGGAATTCAATATTATTTTATAAGAGTCAAAAATATTTATTTGTAAAGGTATATGAATGATATATTATATCTTATAATTTCGCCTTTACTATATAAACAAATAAAATAATTCAGTTTGGTTTGTGCATTACTATGGTTTCGAGGATTAAACCAATTCCATGTCATTTTATCAGCTATTGAATGATATTTAGGTCTTGTATATAAATTACATAAAAATGTTATGGTAAAAAGAAAGCATTAAAGTCTTGTTAATAATATTTGTTCGTTACTTAAGACATTCCGTTTTGTTATTTCATTATTTAGGTATAATATGGTATACCTATACCTATTTCTTTTGGGATAAGTTGTATCAGAAATATTTTAGAAATCTTATTTTTTTTAATTTTTTATTTTATTGTTGACATTTAAATAAAACTAATAAGTCAACCGTCATCACGGTTGCTACAAAGAAACCGCACCGACGAGAAAATGTTGTTTTAAAATACATAATAAGAAAACGCGTAGTAACTACGAAAATTAATTTTATTTAATTGATACGTAAGTTAGATCTCCCCAAATTTCTACATATATGTATACATTTGTCGTAATTATAATTGAAATCTTTAAAATAAAATTAATATCCATAATACTCAATGTTATTAGCATTAGTGCAATAATTATATGCAACTATATTTATCATATGATAAGAAGAAAATGAACTTGACTTGATAAATATAATAAACATTTGTATAGAATTACATTTATATTGTTTTACGATCCATAAACATGGAGTAAATTATAAACACAAAATGTTTTAAATAAATAAAACCTGTAAGAATATTGTATGGATACTTTTTTTTAATGTAATTTTCCTAAAATATATTTTGGTTAAATATGACTATTATAATTTAAGATTATTGATTATTTACTGATACGTTTCTTCTTATATCGTCTTATTTTAAGTACTCACCGTGTATTTGAAGTCCGATTTCAGGTTCAGATTTAATACTGAAAACTGCACTGGCGTGTATCCAAATATCTACATAACATATCCCTTCCTGGGTTACGATGACTAAATGACGGATAGGGACGTATTACAATCTATGTATTAGCGTACTTGTGGGTAATGTTCGCATATAAAGTGATAAGATACATTATTATTATACATGGATCTAATTATATAAATGTAATTGTGGGGTTCAATCAATCAATCAATAGCGTACATATTTTATTAAGAACTTGTACGTGAAGGTAAATTTATAAATTTTTAATCATTACTTACTTGCTTTCTGAAATTACGTTGTTAGTATTGATTAATACAACATTATTTTAATCGATTTTTCACTTTGGTCGAGCCTAGCTGTGGTCAAGTTATTACAACTCGAACATTTGCTGGTTCGATCGAGGAAATACCCTCTCATAGAAGATCGGTGTGAGTAGTCTTTAATGGCCGCGTTTCGTCCCATGGGTGAGTTGCCCGGTTGCCAAGTTGCCAAATTGCCCGGTTTTCTTGTTGCCCGTTATCTTTTCTAACCTTACCTCTCTCTCTCTTCCACAATCAAAGTCGGCAACGCAACTGCAACATCCTTTACTCTGGTCCATAGGCTATCGTGACTACCTTCCACCAAATAGGCCATTTGTTCGTTCGCGCCTTTGCTATATAACCAAGAATTGGTTGAATATATAGGCAATATGGGACTGATTTGAAGGCATAGTATTCATATTAGCACCCAGCAATCGTTATCAATGTGGTATAATTAAATATATATATTTTTTTGTCCAACTAAATTCAAAGATATCTAACAGAATAAGTCAATTGTAAGTTCATCAATATTCATTATCTTTATTATCCGGCTAAAGAAAAACATCTGTCAGTATATAGGTAGTATTGACACTTATTGATATTAACTTTTGTTCTGTTAGGTTTTTAATAGGGTATTTACATTAACACATTATTTAAATGTTTTAATAATGTTACTGCAAGAAATATTTTTTTTTGTCATCAGCGAACACTAAGTACCGGCAACAGCAACTAACGTTATGCACGAAATCTATGAAAATTCCATCGACATAGGTATTGTGGGATATATAGTAGTGACACCAAAATAGAACCGTGTGGGATGCCAAATGTTTAGTCAATAATTGCGGTACGAGATTTTCCTTCAATAACTGCTTTTCTTGTTATTCTGAAAAGGACTCAATCGACCCTAGAAGATCACGCTTAATAATAAGCCCCTGTAGTTTTAACATGAGAATGTCGTTATAGACCCTATTAAAAGCTTGATCAATATATGCGAATACTACGCCAACCATACATTTCAGGTAATCCATCGAAACTGTAAACAGGCTACCCGTTAATTCACTGTTAACTACGTAAATGGTTTTGATTCTCAAGGACCTTTGAGAAATATATATATTTTTGTAATGTCGATCGATTTTAAAAGCGTATGTTTTTTACGAATATTACTTGCCCTTGCCCTTACCCCATTCCCACCTTTTCCTGACATTCCCTTATTCCCACCCTTCGCAACGTTTTTGTTGCGGATGTCCATGGGCGTCGGTCACTACTGCCCATCAAGTAGGCCGTCTGCTCGTATGCCATCTTTGACATATTAAAAGAAACTAAACTTAAAAGAAAGATCTTGAACACATATCTTTGATTTACTGTTTCTAACATGTTTGAAAACTGGGTATTTATTAATAAAGATTTTTAGTTACTTCAATATTAAACCAACGTTATTTATCGATGTCAATGAAGAAAGTGTGTAAAATGTTGTCGGATAAGGTTTAAATTAATAAAATCTAACAAGACAAAAAAGTTTATATAGAACTTGCATTGACTAATTAAGTTACATATCTAAAAAGTAAATTCAAATACAAGAAATATAATAAAAAAATAAATAAAAATGATTTTGTCTCCAGTACCTATAAGTGTGGCATTATAACGAAAACATTAGCCTTATAGGAAGAGTCCAATTTGAATCCGAAATGTTAACCTGTGGCCTCTATCAAATAGGAGCATTGATTTAGCCTTGACATATTAAACGGTTGACACTTGACATATAAAATTTGAGTCCTGAGGAAATGAAAATATTTTGACTGAATTATGTAATGAAAAAGAATATCATTCATGCATAAACATATTACAAGTATATTCCTTGAATTCAATATTGTTCGAGTTTATGAATTACATTTACCTAATGATTCAAATACTGTGGTCAAATACTATACTGCAGTTCGAACATGGACTGGCTAGACCGGGGAAGTACCGCCCTCCCACAGAAGATCGGTGGGAATTAGTTTTTAATGGCTGCGTTTCGTCCGATGAGTCAGAAAGCCGGTTGCACTTTCCCTTTTCAAATCGCTTCCTGCCTTTCCCCTTTTCCCACTCGTTCCTCTCCCTTTTCCTCAAATAAGGGTGGCAATGCATCCGCAAAATTATGTTGCGGATGTTCATGGGTGACGGTACTACCTCCATCAGGCAGGCCGTCTGCTCCCTTGGTCATAAAAAAAGCGAAAACGAATAAATATTATTTGTGTTTTCTTGAATTATGAAATCTTCCATAGAGTGAAAGACTGAATTCTTGTACGAAATATCCAAAATTTTCAACTTACCTAATTAATCATCTCTCTAAAACAGGGCTGTCCAAGCCATGGCCATGGCGGTTCGGATTATTGCGGCCCGCAGAATCTTTTTTATATATTCTTTGTTTAAAAACATCAATGAGCAAATTATTTTTATCACGATGAAATTCAAATTTTTTAAAGGGTATGTTCGATCACGTCATTTTTTTTGGACCACCTCAAATACATAGACGAAATAATCGTCAAATTCGAGCGGCGTTTTGCAGATTTTCATAAAGCTCCTCGCTGAACGTTTCCCGAAACTGGCGAATTTCGGGCAAAAAATGGGCTCGATGATGGGCAGTACCTACCTTTGTGAAAGTGCATATTCAAAAATGAAGCAAATTTAATCGAAATACAGGTCTTCAATGACAGATACTTTACTTAAACATGCACTGCGCCTAGCCACTACTAATATTGAGGTTGATATTGACAAAATTATAAAAGACAAATTAATGGAAAAGTAGTTCATAAAATTACGATATTATTATTAGGAGCATTTTATTTTTATAAATATTTTGCGGCCCGCCAATGTATTTAATAAATTTAATTGGCCCTCGGTCCCATCTAGTTTGGACACCCCTGCTCTAAAAGATCAAAGAAAGTAAAAAAAATATATATTTCATATCTTTGCAAAAACTGAAGAAATTAAATAAACTTTTGTCGTTCGAGATAAGGTGATTACTATCATATAACACATCTTTATAACGTTTTAAACTTTAAAACAAACTTCGTTTTAAAATCGAAAGCAACCTAATATAAAAATTATTTTTGTATAGGTATGTCATATTAAGACTTCATAACTTGTCACTTGTTAATTCTATGTGACAACTTAGGGTCTTTTATAAAGGAAACATCGTAATTAAATAAATGAAATATTTCATATTTTAAAAGTTTATAAATTTATGTGTGATTTCTTTTAACTCCTAAAATGTATTATTCAATAAAATATTTGTATCTCTTAACGAAACCGTATCTTTGTATTTATTCTGATTTAAGGAGAAAATAGCCATATAGTCTTACGAAGATCATTGCAACTGTCAAGATTGAACTTTGTAATTGATATTGAATTAAAATCATTTCCATAAATAAATAAACCAATATTAAAATATAATACTTTTATTCACACTAATATACTCATATTGTTTAGAATACCATAGTTTCAACCTTATATAGATGCATCAGAATTCCATACTTCTGTTCCCCAAATAAAAGACCTTTTATTCAGAATCTATATTCCTACACAGAATACTTAAACTTAGAGGGTACATCGTTATGATAGAAGTTACATTCAATTTTATTGGCGCAGGTCTTCCCATATCTGCAGGGTTTTGGGTGGTAATAGTGGCAGGAAGGGTTGACACAGTGAGGGTAGTATTTACACATGCTCGGTAAACTCATACTGGATATGGTCTTGTAGTTCGCTGATGGTACCACATGGGATGCTGGAATGAGAACATTTGTATGGGAATTATGTATGTAAGTACTCATTATACAGGGTGACTGGTGAATTACTATCAATATTTAAGGAGAATACTCGGTACACGATTCTCATTCGAATTATGTAAAAAAAATAGGCACTTAATTTTTGACCAAATTTCCGTATGAATAAATAAAGTGTTGACACGTTCCAAGTGTTCAAGTGTGGACGCGTGCGGCGGCGTGCTGATACAACACTACGTCACGACACGCGTATGTGTGAGTTTCAGTGTATACCTAATCTGTAGGGTGTTCACACGATGAGTAATTAATTACATAACTTTTGGTTAACTTTACTTAGAAGTTTATTAATATTTATGTTATATTAATTTTTATTTTGTCATATATTATCGTCAAATATCACGTCCTCAAATATCGATAGTAATTCACCAGTCACCCTGTATAATAATTATATAAATGGTTTTGATAATTTCAGAAATATATGTATATAATTTGAATTATTAAGTTTTGGTATATGTGTGTATGTTTATTACAACAGGGGCCGTTCAAGTATTACGCAAGCAGATTTATTACAATTATTAACCCCCCATCCCCCTTGTCAGCAAAAGTAGGCAAAGCTCTTACCTCCTCCCCCATGCTTACGTAAACATTTTAAATTTCTGTATTGTTTTTTTTTTCATATAAATCCAGAAAAAAATTATACTTAATTATATTTTTTTATAGATGCACTCGATGTGACGATTAAAAAGTAAATAACTACCGATAACGTAATCATCATCTAGACCCTACCCCCCATGTCATCCAAAATAAGCAAAGCAAAGGCCCCCCCGCCCCTTCATGGTGCTTACGTAATACTTGAACGGCCCCACACATATTTTGTATACTGTCTCATGATTAAGTATGAGCGTTACTTATTTTTGTTTATTTAAAAATATATAATATGTATCGATAAGCACTGAAATATATAAGGAGCAAATATACAGGGTGACTGGTGAATTACTATCGATACTTAAGGACGTGATATTTGACGATCATATATGACAAAATAAAAATTAATATAACATAAATATTAATAAACTTCTAAGTAAAGTTAACCAAAAGTTATGTAATTAATTACGCATCGTGTGAACACCCTACAGATTAGGTATACACACACACTCACACATACGCGTGCGGCGGCGTGGTGTTGTATCAGCACGCCGCCGCACGCGTCCACACTTGGAACACTTGGAACGTGTCAACACTTTATTTATTTATACGGATATTTTGTCAAAAATTAAGTGCCTATTTTTTTACATAATTCGAATGAGAATCATGTACCGAGTATTCTCCTTAAATATTGATAGTAATTCACCAGTCACCTGTATAACTTTAGTTACCATATTCAATTTGATTTGAAACAAATATAGTGAAGTAAAGAAACATTATCACAGTTTTTTATCTATGATGGCAATTAACTTAAATCATTTTAGTGTACAGAAATAATATTAATACACAATCCCCCTACCAAGTAATGGTGTTGTGGCTGGTGTGTTTGCGTCTGGTGAGTGCGAATAGACGCATCCACGACGGGTGCAAGCGGCTGCGAATTTACAGCGAGGGTGAGAGAACGCACAGGACGAGCCGTAGCGACACAACGGGAATGTGCGACACCACACCGGCTTACGATCAGATAACGACACTGAAACGATAGAATAGATTAGATATTGCTTGGTTCCTACTATACGGTACATACACCAAAATAACATTATTTCCAATGTTTGTCTGTCTGTCGGTTTGATCCGGCTAATCTTTGTAATGGCTGGACCGATTATGACGGGACTTTTACTGTCAGGTAGCTGATAATAAGAAGTAACTTAGGATACTTTTTATCTCAATCCCTAAATAAAGTGAGCTATCACGCGCGAGTGGGTTTCAGGCGCATAAAAGGTTTTTCATTGTTTTTTTTTTTCTTTTTTTAGGCCAACAAAGTCGCGGATAACAGCTAGTTATAAATAAATATTTTAATACAACTTGGCTTAACTCCAGTAATATAATATAAGTTATCTTATTTGTATATTACAAAGTTATATTAGTAAAGGTAAATTTTTTGTATGAGAACTTACATGGTGGGACTGAGTCAAATTTATGAGCACTGGCCGTAGTGCTTAGTGTAATGTGATTATCGCTACTAGAACTAATAGTTCTTTCTCGAATTCTGTCTACTTCTTTATCTTTCTTCTTGTCCACATCAAATATTATGGGAGACGCTTTCCTCTTCTTAACTGGTGGTTCATCACTATCAATCTTTTTATCTACTTTTGTATCTTCTTTATTTAATTCCTCTTGTTTTGTGTTTTCCTTCTTGATAACTTGGGTGCTTTCATTGTTTGTGTCACTCAATTTCTTTTTGGGAGCTATTTCTTCTTTATTTTTATCTGTTTTCTTCTTGGTAGCTTCTTCTTCGTTCTTATTATCCAATTTCTTTTTGGAAGTCTCTTCTTCCTTCTTCTTGGAAGTATTTTCTTCTGTCTTTTTATCTAATTCAGTCTGTGTTTTAGATGTTTCATCATTTTCTTCATCCAATAATCCTTCGGTCATAAGTTTCTTTGCTAGGAACGCGTTCGGATGATAGCCGTCCATTGTCACGATGAACTGCGTGTCTTTGTCTTTATCGACTGTGGGATTGTGAATATTTCTGGAGAAAAATAACACTAATATAAATACATATGTTTTAATTCATGTAAAAACTATATTATTGCTTCTTATATAGTTATTCTTTAAGCTAGTGTTACTGGGATCAACATATTGAATATTTTATAGTACTACAGAATAATTTTCATATCTTTACATATAAAAGAAAGTCGTGTTAGTTACAATATTTATAACTCAAAACCGACTTCTAGAATATGGTTAAAAATTGGTGAGGAGATAGCTTAGAACCAGGAGATGGACATACGATATTTAATTCTGTTCGATCGAAACAGAAGAAAAAGATACTTAATAAACTACAGTATTGGCAAGAGTTCGCCCGGTCACCTATAAATATATTACTAATTCCGAAATTAACACGGACGAAGCTGTGAGCAAAATCTAGTCCTACTAATATTATAATTTCGAAAGTTTGTGAGTGTGTGTGTATGTTACTTCTGCACACTCTACGGGCTGAAACGATTTTGATAAAATTTTGTATACAGGAACCTGAGGTCCAGGAATAACACATAGGCTACTTTACATCCCGGAAAACCGCGGGTAACACCGCGGGGCGCAGCTAGTATTACATATAAATTAACTCATAATTACATTGTGTCCAATATATCATCGTCACAGCTAGGAGACCTTGATGGTACATATTCCGTATTTTGGATCACTTTTTTTATAGACTGCGGCTTAAAACCCATCTTTTCGTTCACATCACTGCTAGTTCTGGAAAAAATAACATCAATAGATTATTGAATTGAATTTAGTCTTATTATACTGCTAGTATTATCTTAATTTATTGGCATTATTCCTTGTTAAGAAACAACTAGACACACGCACGCACACATGCAAGAAACCCAGTCAAACAAACACACACACATTTTTATATCACGCACACAGACAAACATCTCATCATATGTAACATATTACGACTAACAAAATTATATTTTGAGATCTAAGATTTTCAGAAGTTTTATTCATATAAATGAAACAAATATTTTTCACTGGCAGACGAGATCACGGTTGCTGAAAAGTAATCGAAACGTCTTGAGTATGTCGTTTTTGACAAAAATAAAGTCGCGTAGTACAATCGGAAAAATATTAGTTTCATTTAAATAAGTATATTTCATTCCTTACTTATTACTCTTGTCTTCTAATTCTATATCCTCTCCCAAACTGATAGTATCTCCCTGACTGTCTGACGTGTCAACAGGCACCTGTATGACAATCTTCTTTGTGTCAGCACGTCGCATCGGTAACACTAGGGCGCGCTTTATTTTGTTAGGCTCTGTGTCGATTTTTGGCGGAATCTGAAAAGTATATATGAATAGTATTTATTTTAAATGTATAGTTATGAATGGAATAAATTAGATTAATTAGGGACGAGGTCTTTTTGATTTTATATATATCCTTTATTGCACTAAAACAAGACAGAAAATAACATAATAGAAAAAACAAACAAAAAGGCGGACTTATCTCTAAAAGAGATCTCTTCCAGTCAACTTTTTAATGAAAAATTATTTCAAATATTTAAAAATTATGCTTTGTGTCTTAACTATAGCACTTTGAAAGACTATAAGTATACTTTTCTTAAAAGTACAATATTCCATCAAGAGCAAATATATCACTTATATAATTATCTATAGGATAATATACCACCAGAAAAAAAATTCGTCCAATAAAGGTATCAACAACATATATTGATTGCTACAGTGCGTTTGATTTAAGCTGAACTTTGCATTTGTGTGAGTGCACACGGATAGTGTAGGTGTGATGTCAAATTTTTTAATGCCACGTTCTTTTCTAGTTTTGAACCGGTTTATACTGCTTTCACTCCGCCCCGCACTTTCCGCACTTCACTCATTGTACTCGTAATGGTAGCTACGTCAATTGTTGAAAACACAATGTCAAGTGACAAAGAATTTGTATAGTTTTTCAAATTTTTTATTAATTAACTTTTTTCTGTCTGGCCTTTTTACAAGTTTTGCTTATTTTTTTTAATCTATGATAGCTCTCGCACTTATGTTATGTATCTGTTTAAAATATAATAAAATTGAATTCTAAAAGTTTTTTTGTCTAACTGTACTTTTACTTTCACTCACACAAATGCAAAGCTCAGGTTAAATCTAACTGACTATACGTCAATTGATTTCATACCACATCCTGTATAATAAAATGATAGACTATTTATTTGTATGCTGTATATCAGAACTTTATCAAAATCCGCTCAGTATTTCATGTGGAATATTCTAATCTATAATAATATATCTATGTAACTTTTTCATCTATATAGAGTATAGCGATATATGTACTAGATGTCTTAAAGCTGTATATAGGAGTTTCATCAAAATCCGCTCAATACTTTTCTTGGAAGAAAAAGAAACTTACATACATAAATCCCCCAAGAACTTTCTCTATAATATTAATAGTATATTTACATTGAGAAGACTCTTGTGAGCATCAGCCACTGCTCGTAATAGGAGGCTTGACGCCGGCGCTGGCACACGAGGCCGGGGTCGAACCCGCACTACTGACAGACAGGATCTACCAGCGCAAACCCTGGAGACAGAACATAGTCGATTAAAATTAAATTACTAAGAGAAACTATAGTTCAAGGAAAACTGTTTATCTAGGTTTCAGTATGTAAAGCAGATTTTTATTAGCATATCATTTTGTTACTTGAGATATTATAAAGAAATAAAACTTGTAAATAATTTGGAGATTTTGAGACAATCTTGGACATAACAAGATGCAAAAATCCCTGTAATACAAAATATGATTTTTATTTCAAATGCAAATCAATAGTCTTAATTACTAGCTGAATTATGTCATTGAATTCCATCAAAATTGGTTCAGTGTTTTTTGTTCAACACACACACACACACACACATATATATACTACTTATATATATGTATATACTTTATATGTATCTACAATATCTTTATATGTATCTACAGTATCTTACTTGGATGTAAGTCTCTTTGAGCCAGTTTCGGTTGTATCAGGACTATTCTGTGTAGTCACATTCCTGTTATGTTCCGTTTGACTTCCAAGACGACTCCTTGCAGATTTTTTTTGTGGTTTCATTTCCGGCTCTTTCTCGGGTGTAAACCTGAAATGTTTTAAACAGAACATGTGACTGAAACTCAAATGCAATTAAACTGTAGATTTTTGTGCAAAAATATATGCTGCATTAGTGTGCTTGATAAATCTTAAGCAATTCTAATAGTACAATTTTTAATAGCACGTAAGTGTTATTTTAATTTTTTGTTTAGAAATCTTTGATCAAATTTAATATTATAATTACAATAAAATTAGTTTGAAATATTTTTTAAGGTTTTTAGTTCTTAATTTATATAAAAAAATAATTTAGTCCTGTTATGATTTCAGGAGTGTAATAAATCTAAAAGTATTAGTATTAATGAACCTTGTAACACCTAAGAAACATAAAAGTGGCATCATTCTTACTACCTTATATGAGTTTGTAATTAACAACCTTTCAGGGCTATCTGGTTTTTTGGTCTCAATTTCTTTGGTGACCGGTTTCTGTGTTTCCCGAGCACCAAGACGTTCACGAATCGGTCGTTTTGGGAGGTTCAACTCTATTTGTGGCAAAGTTTCCATTTCCTTGGCTTCTATGGGTTTTGGAGGTTGAGATTTTGGTGGTGATGGGTTTTTTGGTGATGGGCATTTGTTATGTTTGGGCGTTGGACATTTGGGGCGTAGAGGTGGTGTAGCGGGTGGGGGTATAGATATCTCCTGAAACAATATGAAAAATTTATGAGATTCAAGATTTTCGCGAGTTTTATTCATTGAAATGGAACTAATATTTTTCGGAACTATAACGCGACTTTATTATTGAAAATATCATTTTTTAGATATACTACGCGACTTTATTTCTGTAAAAACTACATACTCCCGACGTTTCGTCAACCGTGATCACGGTTGTTAAAAAGTAGCTGAAACATCGGGAGTATTTATTTTATTACAAATATAAAGTCGTTTAGTATATCCGGAAATATTAGTATCATTTAAAAGAATATAAAATATTATCCTGTCATACCAAAGCAAGACAAGTTACAATTTGATTAATACCACATCAATTTATTTTAAAGTAATTATTTTATAACAACTGTTACTTTTTACAGTAATTACTACTTTATCAGAGAATATAATATTGTTATAATAATTTTCTATGCATACTTGTAATACATCTTCAGCAAAATCATTCATCAGCTCATCGGCTTCTGTCCTAATGTTTAAAAAGTCCTCGTCATCCGACATAGAGTCGAGTTGATCAACTAATTTTTGTTTCAAACCCTGTATCTTTGCCTCAATCTGTGTTATTTCACTTGTAGCTTCATTGCTATTTAAGTTTTCATCGGTTAAATTTCCTTTTGTAGTTATTTCTGGCTGTGTTATGGTTGCTGGGTCAATTATAGGTAATAACGGCCTCTTTGTCTCTTTCAAATCTTTTTCTATGTCATTTGAACTGTCTTTATATGGCTCGAGTAAAACACCGTGGTTTTTTAATATTTGACCGGCAAACACATCAGTTATAGATGGTTCAGCATCTTTTTCTATGTTCATAAGTAATGGTGGTATGTTCGGCCGAATCATATCATGTTTATTCTTTTTCTTGCTTTTGTGATCCTTTTTATCTTCCTTTTTGCGAGCCTTTTCTTTGGCTTTGTCTTTCTTTTTAGATTTTTTAGCTTCAGTTTTTTTTATTTTATCTTTATCCTTTTTATCTTTCACTTTCTTTTCTTTAGATTCAGACTTATCCCTTTTAGCATCAACTTCTGAAAACCATAGAAATACATTAATTTTATAATTTATTAAGTAATTGATATGATTAATAGATATAATTACTTAGTGGTGCGGCTACAGTAACTTCCTGAAGTTTTTTCAGTACTTGATGCAACCAGTTTACAAACAGTTCTGTGTTATCACCAAGAAACAGTTGTAAGTCATCTTCCATCTGTGCCCTGGTGCGTTTATTGGCTACCATCACCATAACATAATCAGGGAGCTCATCATCTATTAAGACAATATGTCATAACATATCAGTATATATTGAGTACACAGCAATATGTAGGCAATAAAAATATATGTCATATTTTATTTATTTTATTATCTTACCGACGTAGCACCCTAGTTCAGTCAGCTTGGCTTTTATGGCAGACTGAAAATAATCAATAAATTCAATGCATTTCTATTACATATTTTGTGAAGAATAATACTCATAATGTTGTAAAATAGTTTAAGGCCTTCGTGATATATAAATAAATTAACTAACTCAGTTTTTATCAATTGTGAAAGTGTATTTATTACAAATTTTAAGAAAATACTAACTCTCATTTTTTGACCGATTTCGCTGCCGACTACGTCCATTTTTGAAAATTACTTCTGTCGCGTGTCACAAAAAATATATAATTCACCTTAACGCTTTTAGTTATAATGACAACATTTTGTTTAAATAAAAAATCACATAACAACGATATTTATACGTATAAAACCACTCTCTTCAATTAATTATTGTTAGCCATTCTTATTCGTACTGTCAGAAAAACTGAGTTTAGCATTTTGACATTTACAGGTTCGTTCAAAAAACCGGAAGAAACTGAAGTCGAGAAATTTATTCTATCTTTTCCTATACTGGAAGATATTAAAATGTTATTGTAGATATTATATAAGCACTATTAAAATAAATTAACTATATAGTTATTTAAAACATTTTCTTAAACAGTATCATAACGTAACAACGTACATGAATTCAAGTAAATATTTACCTTACTCAGAAATATTTCTTGAAACAAAATATTTTAGAATATTAAGCATAAATATGCTCGGTAAAAATATGATAGATTAACTAGCTATATATTCTCCTTGTTAATAAACAATAGTAGACCTATCGTGTGAGAATACATTTGTGTGATCAACATACTTTTTTTCAATATTAATTGTAGGGAATATATAAAATATAAGATTTCACATATAAATGGAAAGTAAAGTAGGTGTTTTATAAGTCAACTATTTCCACTGTAACATTAATACAGATTGAACTTATAATACATACACATACCTACGTAAATGTGAATGTCCAGATGTCTTTAAGTGTCAATTTATGTTAATTTGTTAAGAAAAAAAATGTAATAAAATATCTTAATGTGAATTAAAACTAACTAAAACGATTTTTTATATAACTCATGTTATTTTACAACGATTAGTACTTTATTCCTATTAATAATATTGTTTTTACTTGCAATTTAGACATTTATATGTAATATTTCTGTGGAACATAGGAAAGCGGTATTTCCACTGAAATTTATATAAATTTCTTAGTGTTTATGAAATAATTTATATCCATCGGGCGTAAGATTTGTTGTGATAGAGTTAAATGTGAAAAAATACAATATTTTGTTACATAAAAGATACGCGTAAACAAACTTTAAGTAACACATTTCAGAAACAGTCGTCTTTCTGAAAGCCATAGCGTACGATGTCTTTTACGACGCCATTAGGCTCGTGTTAACGTTTCCGCTTTCACGTTTAACGTGAAAATTTGTAGTTTTATTTTAAACATGTTTACTATATCACTATTTGTATACTGATGTAAACATTATTTATTTATTTATGTTTTTGGAGATGAGGTACACAATAATATAGGGAAATAAAATTAATACATGGAGATAAAACTAATAAAACCAAGGTGTTTTTGTAGCTAATGGGTAATTTCTGTTTGTATATATTAGGGTTATAAACATAAAACAAAACATAGGTATATCATGATTCACTTTGGTTTTCTGAGACATTAAGAAAATATATTTTTTACAAACCCACGATGCAATGAAAACTTTTTTAAAATTGTGCTGAAAATATTAAGTTAATCGACCTTAAATACAGGAACTTAAGGTATAATATTGTATTATCAATCTTAACATAATATTTGGAATAATTACGAAATCAGAAACACAAATACGGAATACAATCATACGTCAAGCAGTTAATCTTTCGGTAGCCGGAGCGTAAAGGGAAATAACCACAAACTAGCGATCAATAGGTTTTATAAGAGAAGACATTAGGGCTATAAAATCAAACGTCAAGCCTTACTCAATTTGAAAGCTGCTTCGACTCGGACTATAATGATTGATAGGTATGAGAAACAATACAAAATCCCGGAGTTTTTTGTGCGACCAGACATATTTATATATTCGCGAATTTTAGAGGACCTTGTGTTCACAGTGGTAACGGTTCCTCGGGAAATCAACATCCCCAAAGACACTGCCATCAAGAGCATTAAGTATTACGAGCTCACTAACGAACTCTCTAGGAATAGTTTCATCGTAGATTTTAAGAATAGAAGTGGTAGCGAGAGGTATAACGGCTAAATCTCTCTACAAACTGGGGAAAGACTTGGGCCTGTCCAGAATTAACATCAATTTATTCATGGAAGATACTTCGAAGGCAGCTCTAGTAGATTCTTTTCAAATATAAACAGGTACAGAGAGGAATTTGGGCAGCGGAGTTGAGCGTTTAAAACAACGTTAGTTAGGAGACTCTTAATACACCTGGGTCGCAAGTCTCAGGCACTGTTGCATTTCCTCTCACTTACACGCGATGGACTCGACACCTGCGTAGTGAATCCATTGAATGCTAAGAAGTTTTGGTCTCATTAATACAATCATTCAGATAACAGATGCTTGATTACGAGAATAAAATGTCTCCATAGTTAATGCTAACCATTGCCGCCATTCGGGTATTAGATACCTACATTGTTTTGGGTGGATAGAAAAATTAAAAAGGCTTTCAAATACCATTACTTTCGTTTTGTTTGTAGTCCCTCTCACTCCATAAAATCATGAGATAAATTACATCCTAAACATATGTCGTTTTTTTTATGTTTAAGTTACATTCTTGTACACTGCTATTAAAGTCTGTTTAATAGTTTTTAGACGAAACATCAGCAAACTTCCAGACATCCTCACAAACATTCACATTTATAAAATAACTAGGTTTCTACAAAGTAACCACATTTATTAAATATTTATTTATTTAACAATATCTCTATGACTACAGAAAACAAAATAAATAATATTCGTACCTAAATTACAACTATTTGGAAAGTTTCGGAGATTGCTTAAATATAATATGGCATTGTAACTAAAATAGTAAAAGAAAGAGAAAAATCACAAGAAAAAATACATTAAAAGTATATTAGTTTCATAAGTAGTTGAAATACTGTTGAAAGTAACATAATACTTAAATGTAAAAATAAATTCATTGCAACAGTAGCTGTTCTTAAATAAAAATATATTTTTTACATTAATCGTAATGTCAAAGTCAATTTCATACAACCTTATCAAATAGATATGTCATTGTCATTTTAAAACATGGTAACATTAAAATTTTATATACAGATAAAACATACAAATAATCTTTGGTCAATTTTCATATACCAAACAAAATTATTTCATTGGAATGTACTAGTATTGCGATTTTTGAGGTATTGATATGTTAATTGGAATGCATCTTGTCTTATTAATGGTTACCTATTTCAAATTTTGAGGGAAAAATTGTGAATTGATAAAATACGGTTTTTGAGAAAATTTGCTAAAGCTACAAATGGTATTACATTAAAAACTGTAACAATTTATACATATAAACCTTTTAGGTTCGCACAATATTATATTTATTATAAAATACACCTATCTATACGTATTTAAAAATTAATATTGTCGCTTTTTAGTGGACGGATGAGTTACTCATACATTGTCTTTTACTTAAAACAAATAAATTTTTATTTCCTTTTAAGTTAATCAGATCGGAAGTTAAAAAATATTTTATCCGGTACTAATAATATTAAAGCTTATTTTTTTTTAATATGACGTGCACAGTGCATTTTTCAGTATACAAACGTAATCACTAGAGTGCTATAAAATATCTTTGGTACGCCGTGCTAAAAAGCGACATATTAATCTAAGTCAAATCTCGTTATTTTCAGGTTCCTTTGGGACCCTAACCCGCTGGTAGCCGTCTCGTTCTTGGGCCCCAGGCTCGTTCTTGATCCATGTTCTATCTTCCTGAGGTCATTGACCCCCGATGGTCTGCCCGAGACTCCCCCAGCGATACTTGGCTTAAAACCGTTCGTGTGTTGCTGAAGCTGTACCCGTGACGCTCTTTCCATTTCTCTAAAAGAATGACACTAGTTATTGTGGCTTAAGGTGGGTTTGCAAAAAAGAAATGTAAAGTTTGATGTTATTAAATGATGTTAGTATAGCTGATAGGATAGGATTATTATATTAAATTGTCAGCAACAATGTGTGTATGGGAAGCACTACATGCAAGATAACGTGAAATACTGTGAATATTAAACCTTGAAATTCTAATATGGAAGGATAACTGATTGAGGCATACACTATATAGAGGCAGAAAGTAGGTAATGCAAAAAAGCACACACACATACACAAAAGCACAAACATACACACACACACACACACATACACAGTTTCACCGCCAATCAGTGATACCTTCAAGTTCTGATATAAGAGGCGAGCGCGGAGGTTCGCAGCTTGTTGCATGCTGGCGATGATTGATACGCACCGCTGGAGGGAGAAGGCAGGGAGCAGCATAGGGCAGCCTTGTAAGCAGCGCGATACTGAGCGTTCATTATAACATAGATGATGGGGTTCACGCACGCGCTCGCGTACAGCAGGAGGTAGCCCGCTATGTGGAATACTGGAATAATTAATTATCAATTATTAAATATAGTTATCGATTTCCGAAGTCACAATGTAATCATTAAAGCTACATTAGCCACTTTAATGTACTAAATAATGAATGCTCTGATTATAGAAGTATCAAATTCGTAGATCAAAAAACTAAATTTTTGTAATATCTAAGAGGTAAAGCTAAGCTACGTTTTGTTATTAAAATAACTGTCTATTATTGAGCTTCTAAGTCGATCTGATTAAATCGCAAGGAAATGTCTTTTAAGATATCTACATGGCTACTACATACATATATTTTATAATATAATTTCTGTTTAAAAAATCATTGTACATTAAAGTTGTATAAATTTGTTCTATAGTTATAATGTATAAAATCATGAGTACCAGGGAAATGTACGTGACTATCGGCAACCTTCGCGATAGTGATGGGAAGGTAGCAAACAAGGAACGATAGGAATATTGCAAGGACCATCTTCGTTATCCTCCACTCGTTGCGACGAGCCTTCGTTTCCCGCGTGTCCTTTATTGTAGAACGTTTGTCATGATTGAGGCTGCCAGCATTCGTGTTTTGAGAACGCTGGTGCTCTCTCATCCTTTGCTCTGAACTGAAATAAGATATAAGTATATATTTAGCATTGTAGATACATGGAACAAATGATTATATAATAAATGAGGTGCGCAAAGAGATTCAATTTTTGAGAAAAAACTTTTTATGCCTCCACAAAACAAGCAATCGTCGCCTGACCCCATAGATAGGCAAGGTAAGTATACATTTTTATGACCCCGTAAAACTTAATATAGTATAAAAATGTCAGCTCCCCATTTGTTCTTGTCCCATAAAGATAAGGGAAGCGTTTTAGCACATAAAACATTCATATTACCTGCCTCTTCCAACTAAATATCAGTGTACTCTAAGTTTTAGATGTTAAATTTAGTTACGAATAATGACTGAGTTGTTTACAGGCAGGCCTATTCTCTGAGGCCCTTAAAATGACAGTTAAGAGTGAGGCTCCAAATTTTAAATTACTTTATACATTTCACGATACAAGTTTCAGGAGAACATTAACAATATAACGACACCTTAAATTGTATTCAAGTACGTAACCCGTTAGACGAAATGTGAAGTTATTAAAGTCGCCCATTGTAGTCAAAAGTCTCGTTTTATTTAATTTTTTGTTGTAATAAAAATGTTTTTTTAGCATAACGTTATGAATATTACGTTCTTAATTAAAATATTTAACCACTTCTTTATATAAAATGTCTACACAATTTTGAGCCCAAATAAGAAAAGACTTTCTATCCGTTAACATATTTCAATATACAAATTTACCTGTGCACAACCCAAAATATTCTTGCATAGCAGATGAAAATGAGTAAGGCTGGCACTATGAATGCGATAACAAAAAGCGCAGTTTTAGCTGAACGTCCGAATTCATCGGAAACTATAGAACAGGTTCCCAGCTCTGGATCGTAGTCAAATTTACCTGAAAGATAAAAAAAACATATAAGAGAGATAAGTATAATACTTGTAAAATGTTTGGTTGAGAGTTATTTCAGTACTGTATTAACGGAGTATTAACGGAGAGAAAAATAAGAAAGTTTAATCGTTAGCTTTTGTTTAAGTGAGTAACTTTGTTTTTTCAACATTCCCCAATATATAATTTTTATTGGCTTTTAGTACCTTGTACCTATGAGAATTTTATTTCGAGTTAAGATCTTGTAGAGATTATCCTTTTGCTTTGAGGTGTTTAAGAACTTATGTCTTTTCTGCTAAGGTATTATATACGATTTTTCTTTGAGGTATTTTTTTACTTTCAGCATACTGTGATATATTCTTATCGAATGTAGGCGTACGAGTTTTGCCTCTAGCTTGAGATTTATATTGGGTTTAATTGACATGGAATAAAACATCGACTTGCTAATTCCCAATTGAACGCGTTTGATGTAGTCTGAGCCATTGAAACGTCACGAACATAATTACAGGGCGTGTTTAAAACTAACCAGTTAGACTTAGATGAAATGTAAATTTATTTGACTCCAAGGAATACCGATGTAATTTCGGAGGCTTACTAGCTTCAACGATTTAGTTAATAGGACTTGTGGTGTCTGCGAAGTTTAATACGAAATTACCCATTTAAATACGGTTGTAAAATTACGATTTACATTATTCGCCATTAAAGACAATATCTTACTATCAGATAAAGATTTGATATGTTCTTTGGATTTAAACGAATATTAAATACGCATGGTCAAAGTAATAGTACGAAATGTATGTATTGAAATATTTAATGTCTTTTCTATTATTTATAATTTTTCTAAACCCATGTTTTAACTCGTTTATAATTTCTCTGATTAAATATTTGTTAATTTACAATCTATTGGAAATCTCATAAAATCCTGAGTTCCATGATAAAATATTTTATTTTCGCATATCCATAGAGACAACATCGGAGATTTAAAAAAATATTATATTAGTTTCAGAAATATCTGTATAATCTTCTGGTCGTATATGGCATTGCTAAAGCATTAATTATTGCTATTCTCTCAAAAAGGAAAATAATAAACATTTTATTGCACACTTCAAATAAAAAAATATGTCATTACATCATTGCATTCTTGCCAGATTTACTGTTATATTTATTCATGTGTATTTTACAGTTATATAAACCTTATACATAAAATTTATTTTCATGATATTCTGTATTTTTAAAGAGTTCTTGTAATATATTGAGTAAAATAAGGAAATTGAATCACCTCCAGTTTTGCTACGTTGGATTGTTTGTGTAATCGTAAGACAAATATAAGTAGGCTTTTAAATACATTTTATAATCCAATTTACTTCATTACCGCTGTGGAAATTTTATATCGAAACCGCATGACTTTAACCAACATTGCTAATAATATCTGTATGAAGAACTTAAAACGTAAATAGAAGGAGTGTTAGATATTGCTTGTTTTTGTACTCACCCCAGATTCCAATGAGAGTAGGTATCTGCATCCCGTAAGAAAACATCCAGGAGAAGATGATCATTAGAGCTATGTTGTGTTTGCGGTAGACTCGCCCATACCAGCTGTGATGGGCTATCATGATGTACCTAGAAAAGGGGTTTCGATGTACATCAATATCTTAAAACATAAAAATCAGTTTGACTGATATTTCACTATGACCAAATTATATAACCAGAATATAATCTAAAGGTTGGCAAAATAAAATAGGAGAAACAAATCGATTAGAATGAATTCCAAATACTAAACAAACAAAATTTTATTTCATATACAAAATACCTAAAACAAAAGTAAAACTGTTTAAAGTACGGTCAACTCCTAAATACCAAGAGATGCTGCTAGGACTCTAGAATTATAAACGACCTCTTTTCATCTTAAATGTAGACAGCTTCAAAATGATTCGTTTTAAATCTAAGAGGTAGACATCTGATTTAATGGATCGGATCGACTGCATGAAAAATTTCCTCTATTACAATAAAATATAAGAGTCTCGTTTTAATGGAACTAAACTACAGGATCTCTTTAAAGTAATCTGCTCTGTGATGGATTGAGGACTGTATCAGGCATCCATTACACATATTAGAACATAGATCAGAGACAAATTCATAAATATTCTTAGTCCTTAGCATTAATCAATGTCCAACTGACCATGTTTGCACCTGAACCCAAATCTTTTATTTATAATTCTGGGTCTTATCTGCATCGCTACAATTAGAGGACAATTGATTAAAGTTATATAGTATTTTATTAAATAGAAGTATTATTTAGTTTAGATTATTCTAACATATTGAACGCATGATTATCGCAGTTATTTAAAGACATTTGGCGAATTTTCAAGGCAATTTGTTTTATTAATGATAACATGTTTTCGTGATCTTGACCTTTGAAGCACTGGTGACAATTTTCGAAATAGATGCGCGTTGTGAAATTAATTTATATTGGTCAAAGCAATAAGTCACATCTATTAAAGTGTAGGAAATGTGTGAAGATGAAATAATGTTTTTGTAATATAAAGTTTTATTTATCGCCTACTGTTTTTTCATCTTGGTCATAAAATATAAAAACTGTAATAGATTATCCTATTTTACACATGATTTCATTTTCAATAACATTGAAGACACCTGTGCTTCTGATTTATATTGCTTTTTGCGTGATTTTTCACGTACGACTTGATAAATGTTGTTAGACTTTATCTATTGTCACCTTATTTCAATCTCATATTATTTGTATTAAATATAATATTAAAATTGAGTATGTATAGTTATGATTAGAATATATATACGTTCAAGTCCAAGATAGCGAGGAAACATAATTGAGAACTGTCACGAATTAATCAGTTTGTCGAAAAAGTTTTTAGAGGAAATTGAATAAGTTCCGAAATTGAAATTGGAAAGGCCCTTTAGATGTCTTCCTAATTGAACTCGTGCCAGTATCTCTTACATTATAATGTTAAAACTCAATATTAAGAATAAATTTTATAAAAAACGGATTATTTTGATACTTATTTTTTCACATTTGTGTACATATATGATAAGAATATCTTTGATAAATTTATATATGACATCACGTTATGCTCATAATGATCATGTTATTTAAACTATTATCTTATAATCTTTGACCTATTCATAATACAGTATAAACAACATGTAGGAAGTGATCGTTTTTTTTTTAATTAAAAACCAATGATATAATTATACTCTGTGGTTATTTAAGTAGAAAATTGATTCACTGCTTAAATGGCAACCGTGTTTGATCGTATTCAATGGATTACAATTCAATCCTGTATAAATATATAACAACTGTATTGATGATTCACTATCTGCATATTTAAAACATTATTGACTGTCCGTGAGTCACGATTTGTACTACGAGGAAACTACGTTAAATATATATAAATATTGATCTTTTGCGTTGGACTTTAGATTCACCTGATAATTTATAAGTCACTTGTAAAGTTTTAGAAAGCATATTTTTATATATTCTAAATATCAAGAAGCAGAAGAAGAAGTATATAAACGAGTAATGATATACCTGATATTAATATTGTACCTAGGTTAAAGAAATATAAGAAAAACTATGACCTCAAATTTATATTTATTAAACCTTAAACTTTTGGTTTAATCTTACATAAACGCCTACACAAAAGAACACACACAAGCTAACATTGAATAATTGATTTGTTTTTAAATCACCAAGCCTTAATGAAGCTATACAATTGAGTAATTACGGCGCACAATTTAATATTCTCAAGCGACTTACCTGTTTAAAGTAATCAGAGCGATGCTCAAGAGAGATACTCCAACATTTCCATATCTGAGAAACGGCACGAGTTTGCAAAGAGCACCCCCGTGGGACCAAGTTCGCGTCCAGAAGCCAGATATGGCGAAAGGCAGAACCATGGCACAGAAGAGGAAGTCGGCTATGCATAAACTGTAAGGAAATAATAATAATGATTAATATCAAACAATAAAGGATTTAATGATAGCTTGCCTGTCCATGAGCTCTTGTATCGGGAACGTTTAAAAATTAATAAAATTCGCTTTTTTTACTATATACATTGTAATATATTCTTCCAGGCATATTTTATATAAATATACTAACATCATAAATGGATTATAAAACTGTTTTAATACATTATAATAAAAATATATTTATATTCTTTGGATATAAGATATTTTACCATTTTTGTAAAGCTTTTCTATTATAAATAAGTATTAATAAAGCTATTATATTGTTGTAAAAGTGAATTATTATTAGTATCTAGGAATTCAGGATATTTTAGTAGTTACTAAGTAATATAATGAAACTCCAACTAGAAACAAAGTGGGTTACATTATGTTACTTTCATACTTAAGTGATGACAAGATTTCTTTGGGGACCGAAGTTATGATGAAACCTGTTCCACTCTTGAATGAAATCTAAGTAATTTTTTACATGACTTATATGAATATTATGCGAAATTGTGATTATTTATATTTCCTTCTTCCAGTTTGAATTTTTGATATATGAAGTATAATTTCCATGGTGACGAAGAGTCTATCAAAAATATTTGTTTCCCTTTAAATTAACAAATTATCAAAATAAATCAACTAACTACGTAAAATTCAGAAGGAAGTGAGAGTTATAAATTATTATCATCCCCAAGAAAAAAGTATATATCGTTGTAAAATATCACAATGGAACAACAAAAATATGTATTCTATATAATTATTATATATCTTTTTTATCCGAGTTCAAAAGAAGTAAGGTTATGTTTTCCGATTGTATGTCTGTATTTATATACTTGTTCCTAAACGGCTTATTGTACTTAAACGTGGTTATATAAATAGATCGTTTTAGTCGTAGAATAACACTACTTATATCAAAATAAAAGAAAATAAAAAATTTTGATAGAAAACTTGATCTAGAAATAAAACTTTTTTCATAATAAATCGACTATGGTACTTATCAAAAAATTAATGTTTAATTGTAATAACGATTATATACGAATTTAATGCTATTATAAAGTAAACAGATAATTTACATATAAATTTTAAATACAAATAAATAGGAAGCTTGTATTTCAATACTTTCAGTTCTTCAATGAATGTAATAATGATTAACGCAGTCAGAGTTTTGTTTTTCCAAAACATAGTACTTGATTGAGGTATTTTTATAAAGGAATATCTCCTCTAAAGTTATTTTAAGAATTCAAAAGAGGATATCAAAATATTATTTCTCGTAAAAAATATTGAAATAAAATTAATTTCATAGACACATCTGGATAGTAAAAAAAAGCGAAAATTTAATTCCAAGCAAGTAGTCGTTTAAAATTTCTTCATCAAAATATTTAAATATTTAACCGTTAAAATATTTTATAAGGTCAACTGGATGTTTGAACTTTAATTTCAGGGCTCAGAGTCATTGATGTCAATGGAATCTTATACACGATTGATCCGGTTTCTGATGAACTTTCCAATACATCTGCTATTGACATCGAATTTCCTTATCAAAGAGCAACGAAATTATCATACAAATAGACCTATCAAAAACGCTAACAAAAAAAAGGTCACTGACTACATCGGAGGCCTTTTCAAAGATTTCGTATTCCAATTTACCTTAAAACTTGCTTCGAATTGAATATAAAAATAACTCACCTTATTATGAAAGCAGCGGCGACGTTTCTTACTTTCGGACATTTTAAGAGAGCTACAACGGTAAGAAGATTGCCAAATAAACCGATGACCATTATAATACCAGTGACTATGGCAGCGAAAGTAAGCAGTGTTGGCGAGAATCTGAAAAAATATTGAAAAAAGCATATATTTTTTCTCTACCAGTAACAAAGTACAGTAATATTGAAAAACGTTTATTTTATTTCTGTTTACGAACCTACATCTAGAGGCAGTTAGAACTAAATTAAATAAAAATTAATTATTTAAAGGAATATGCTGGTACTGTAAATTAGTTGATAAAACAAACAGCGTTATTAAACAAGTTATGCAATTCTCATTAGGGAAGGGAAATGAAGTTACAGTTTTCAAGAAAAAGTATAAGAAGTACTTGAATAACGAGGAACAGCTTATTGCAAATAATAATTTTTAATATAGATTATTTAATTCCTTATGAAACTGCAGATAATATTTTAAGTTAGTGCATGATTTTTTAAATTTACCATACAAAATCTAGTTGTTGAATCAATGGTGCTAAAGAAATATGTTCGCTTTATTTCATTGTTCATTTATCGTTTTTTTATTGTATCATTGTTTTTGCGTATGACAGGGGCATTTCTAAAAGCACCCGGAATTCTTTTATACTATGAGAGTTATTCAAAAAATTGTGGTTTTGATAAACCTTTCAATGAAATTTAATACATCGCCATTTAAATATACTTTATACAGAAATTTTTATTTCATAGAAAACATCTGTATTATTTATTTAACAACGTCTGGGAAAGCTGTGAAAAGATTAAAAGTTCTCAAATAGCCTTTTTAATTTATAATTAAGAAAAGGGGTGTAAAATTATAAAAGTAGTAAAACGTGAATTGAAAATAAAAACTTTTGTTCGCGTTTATTATATCTTTTATACCTCACAAATTTAATTACATATTCTGAAAGCGGAGACAAAATATTCTATATCTAATAATTGATTTTCGACAATATTTTTTAGTTATACCGCAAACTTATCTAAAAGTATGATAAAAGGGGATGAAAAAACGATAACTTTGTTTTATCATCTCCCGGAAAAGTTTTAATACTTAAAGAATTCATGTTTTAATAATTTATCTCATTTAAGTGCTTTCATTTTGATACGAATATCGAAATTACAGATACGATATACTAAATAAAATTTGCTACTCAATGAAGTGCTTCAGAAATGTTATCATTAACGGTTTTAACGACTTTAAATATGCATACACCCTAACATAACTAATACAATACATAATTTATATATTTATCAATATTTTAAATGAAATATTTACTGATAATACTTACTTTGACAATTCGCTCTGTTGCACGTTTGCGATATCAATTGTTGCGTTAAAAACGTCGGAATCAGCCATTTTTTTACAGTTCTGAAACAATAATGACACGAATTTAATATCCAGATATTTCTATTTTAAAAATGTTCCTAATAAATTTTATAGATTTTTTATAGTGTTTAATTTTATTTAAAAATATATAGAGATATAGTTATAGATGTGTATTTCATCATTTTTGTTCATTGCATATGAAATAAAGTCATATAAAGTCAGGGGTCAGTAGAGCAATTTAAAGTAACCTTTACAATTAGATGGACTGTGAACTCATGTCTTAAATGAAAGAAGCTATCATTAGATATTCATACTTCCTTATAACACTTAATTGACATCCGCCACATTACATGATATGAAAAATTTTTCTATTTTATGACTACATGGTGAGTTTTAAATAGGAGTCGCTTTCGGTTAAATATAATTTTTGTATGCTTGAAGTGACTAAGACTTTGACAGGATGCTCTTACCTTTTAAGATGTGCCTAAATAAACTATAATGTCAGCTATTTTCGTCTGGGGCCAATGACTTGTATATAAAAATTAAACTACCCACAATAAATTTCGTGTTTATATCTGTCTAGGGACTTTGTCTTCGCGGAACAGGCATTTTAAATATTGATATTAATTAAAAAAAAACACAATATAAAAGTATATTAGTCTGTTGTCTAGCTGTGAAAGTTATGTAAAATTGGTTAGGCAGTTTCAGAGATCATTCAAAACAAACAGACAAAGACAAACAAAAAATATACGAAATTTTATTTCAATAGTACTCACTTTCTATACATTCAAACGGGTTTAATAAAAAGTGGTTATTGTATTCTACAGACAGATACCACAATTTTATTTATTTATATAGATAATAATAAGCAGCTTCATAATGTGTTAAGGTTAGTTTTGTGTCTTATTATAAATGGTCTAAGCTTGTTAGAAATCCAAGATTTGATTAAAATATAATAACATCGTTTAATATAAATCTAAATCACAAATTGATATACCTTTGTTATTATTCTTGACAGTTTTGTTTCGTGAACATTAATAATAAATTATTAATTGTATTGGGAATAATGGAAACAATAACATAGGATGAACAAATAAGGGTCGGAGAGTCAGAAAATTTATATATGTAATATTAGATTGATCTATGTAAAATATTACCATTAATTACACTATTATAACTAGATCCAAATACTTTTATTCAAAAAATCTTATTTAATATGTAGTTTAAAACATTAATATCTTATAGCTAAAACTATGAAAGTAACAGTCATGTTAAAAAGATTACTCAACATTTGCTTTAAATCTTTGTCTGGTGATTGTCTTCGTTTCATTTCTTTATAGCAACTTAAAGCTACTATATGACAGTAGTTTATTTAGAGACTGATGTGATTTGCATGTCTCAGTACAATTAAATTAGTGTTTGTATTCGTAGTAATGCTAAATACTTATATCCTTTTATACATTTTACGTCAAATAATTGCTATCAAAAACCTTTTAATGGTATGGTTAAACAATGAATTATATTCATTGTCGGGATTAAAAATCATTAATCACTTGTCTATACAATCGTTTATAGTAATTGAAGTATTTGGAACCGATAGCGGACTGCTTATATAAAATTTTAATATAATTTTTTATAAAGAAAAACCCATGCGGAATATTCGCAATAATTGGACAATTTTATTTACAAATACGAATGTTCGCATGTATAAGTATAATATAATAGTTTCATACGTGTATAATTTAAATGTATAAGCCTATTTAAGTTGATATCCTAATAATAAATCCACCGCTCCCGGCATTGTGCCGCTCCTAAATCGCTTCATTGAACACAATAGTGTCAATGACCACACACACGAATGGGACTTATTGTTAACATTAAATTATTGTTAAAAATCACGCTTGGTTTCAGTCATAAAGGTTTTATAAATGGAAATGTAACATTTATATCAAAATATGTTCTTACTTTAAAGCATTTGACAGAATTTTTTTGGAATTCTTCAATCTTATTTAGTCGGATCCTTTTTTCTTAATATATATGTAGATATTTGATCAATCAAATACAATTTTCTTTATCATTTGAGAATCAAGTGAATAATCAATATGTACCTTTAATTTTTCTACATGTGACCATTATAAATAACTCTTAAACATTATACATATGTTAGGGTGACCATGAGGTTTGTATAGTAAAAGACATTTTCTCTACAGTCTGCACCACATTCATTAGTGCAGTTGGCTTAGCGATGACAGTGAGGTCTAACGTGAAATCCACAACTAGCTTAAAGGAAACAAATATTACGGCCTAAAATACAATTCAGCTGAGTTTCAGTTTGCTTAAATTTTTTATATTTAAATATCTGTAAAGTTTTCCTTAAAATATTCTTTGAATAAACAAGAAATAGACATAAATACCTTTGTCTTATAAACTTATTTTTAGGAAAATTCTTATATATTTGCTTCAGAAATTTTATACAGATTCATTGTTTATCAAAAATTCTTTGTCAAAAGAACAATATGAAACAAAAGAGGAGAATTTAGAGAATAATTCAATTGAAGCTTGATATGGTAGAAACGATTTAATTAAAGTAATTTACATATTTTCCATTATTATGAGATCTAGTCACGGTCTAATGCTGAGATTAAGTGAATAATGTGTTCATATTTCGTCTTATTTGCATCAGACTTGAATTCATGAAGCTAAAGTGTCATTTAATTTAATCCACTGCATGCATACTAAGTTACAAAGTTATAACAATGTTTTAGAATCCTAGTTGGCGTGATTCCAATATGAGGGATGAAAATATGATAAATTTTTCGTCACAATGGGATACTAGCCAAATGACTCTATTGTTATCAAATAATACTGGGTTAAGGATGTATTGAAAAGTTTCCAGACTCACCCTAAGCCTGGAAATAGTGACAGTTTTATATAATACAGTATGTCAGCTAAATTGAGAAGAAGAAATCTTTATGTTAAATTATGAAAACGTATATTGTAAAGGTTTTATATTTTATATATGCATATTTTATAAATTTCAAAACAAAAAAGGACGATCAATGAAGAAAAAATATCAAATAAATAATAATTAACCAAAGTAAGTTTAGATAAACACAAATAAGAGATAATTAAAACAGAACATAAACAAAATGGCAGAGAGAATAATTAGGATGGTTAGCATGGCTTGTAAATTGAACTACGAATTAATGCAAGGCAGAGAACTTTCGAAATGTTTAAATTTCCATTTAGACGAACCCACTGTAAGCGATAACATTCAACTCATAAAGGGGACTGTTTGATAAAATAAATTAAAACACACACACACACATACACACATACACACAGACACACACACACACACACACACACACACACAAACATACATATATGTATATGAATTTTGTTTTTTTTAAACAACTTTAGAAATCAAATATTGACCACGTCAAGCTATGAATGAATTATAATTTAAACAAAAGATATTTATTGTTTTAGAGAAACAATAGAAAACGGTTCCCCTGAACACGTTTGAATGTAGGATAAGATTACAGAATGAAAAAAGAAAAGAATATTTCTGTTTTAGATTGTTTTTAGGACAAAGTTAACAAAAAAGAAAAACGTTTGGTGAAATTATAAAAGCCTAAACGATAAATAAAACTTAATAAACATGCTCCAATTTTGTTTTCGATTATTTAAAGTTCACCAGAAGGTTCTTTGAAGTTTAATAAGGTTAAGAATCTAGATTCCCGGGCCTTTGTAATTCAGGCTAAAATTTTAATTGCGTTAATTTGAATTCATATAATTTAATTTATTTCTCATCACATTTCACAGACAGATCAAATTAAAGATATATTAACATAGCTTAATATTTGTCAGTTGTTAAAAGAAAAATGCGACTACACAGTATAATAGCAATATTTTTTACGTAAGCATTTTTTGAGAGTAAAAATTTATCAGATTCTCTTGTCGCCAGGGTGACACTGTTCCAATTCTAAGTAATGTACAATTTAGGACACGAAAACATTCGGAATTGTCTTAAAGCAATTAGCCATCCGTTATTTATGGAGCGGAAATGGCTTCATTTTACAATTTGGGATACGCTTTGTAGCGTTGATTGTAAAATTCTGAATTTACATGATTTATTTTCTAATTTTAGTTAACTATTTATATTGTTAATTAAATAAGTTAGATAGAAGACTTAAATAGAGTTATATTAATACTTAATTTGTATTTATTTGCAAATTGTCAGAGAATATGTACAGGTTTTCATTATAGCTACTTCAGAGCTATTGTAAATAATCATAAAAAACATTTTATTTCGTAAGTATGTACGTAAAATTATAGAAGTCATAATAAGTTGTTAATTATTTAAATTCTAATTTCATAGGAGGTTATTTAAAAAATACGAATTCATCAGAAAATTAATATTTAAAACGTATAAAAATATGTTGACCTAGATCCTAGCATTTTGTTAATCGATTATTAAAATGAGTTTTGTTTTGTGTATTTTAAAGTCACTTATAAAATTACTGAATATAAATTGAGGTAGTGCTAGAGTTACACTATTGTGAATCATAAATATAAAAATGGTGGAACTAATAAATCTCATAAATATATAAATAATACTATTGTACTTAATATCCTCATGTGTATTTATTACGAAGCGGTATAATAACTAATGTAAGTCATTTTCATTTGTTCGCTCGCATATGCCAAGCTGACAATTGATATTGTTTGAATCAGCGGGAGCGATGCACCGACAATTAACTAATTTAACGTGACATTTGTTAAGTGGATAAAGCTAACTTTAATGGAGGAAACGCCTACGATGACGATTGTGGACTAAATTTCATCCTGTGTGAACTTGGCTTTGTGTGATATAAGAAAAAATATTTAATTTCCTACAACTTGGGAGTTCAAACAGAAATTAAATAGAAGGCAAACAATATAAATGATACTTCAATAGGTTTTAGTGAGAAAAAATTGAAGAAACTTGTACACTCTTTTTCATATTTGTTGAAAAGATACTAAAT